TCACAGGCAAGCCTGATATTATCCCCCTCCCCCTTCAAGTCTAGTTTAAAGCTCTGTCAATGAGCCCCGCTAGCTGGTGAGCAAAGACCCTCTTCCCCCTTGGAGAAAGGTGAATCCCATCTGGCTCCAGCAGGCCTGGTGCCATGTAGACCACCCCACTGTCAAAAAACTCAAAATTCTGGCGGTGACACCAGCCATGGAGCAAGGTATTAATGGACTGTGTATGACTGGAAACCCCCCTGTACGCCAAGATCTGTCACTCCGCTGTGGACCAGACTGGTGTCGGAGCAGCTTGCCTCGGCAACTGACTGCTAGCTTCAGTTACACCGCGTTTACACCTCCTGCCGTTGCTCTGGCCACCCCCAGGCCTCGTCAGCGTCTCCCGCCAGACCTGCTGGCTCCTGGTGGGTCTCTCCGCTCCCCTGGAGTTCCCCTGCCTCAGGAAACCACCCTGTGCACAAAGACCTGCCGCTCTGCTGCGGATCGGGCCAGCTCTGGAGCAGGTCCCCTCGATGACTGACTGCTAGTTTCAGTTACACCGCATTTAAATCCTTTGTTCTAAGAGAAGGTTAAAGAGCGATGGAAATTTGGAATCTTTTTAATAAAAATATTTTGTAAAATGATTATTTTGCTTTTTCTTTTTTTTCCCAGTTAATAATAACAAATAAAAGTATGCCTTTGTTAAGCAAACTGAAGCATTAAGTATGAGAATTCTTAGAGACCTTTCTAATTCCAAGAGAAAGTGAGACAGGTATTGCTTGACCCTCAAATCAACTATTAATTTGTTTCTGGATGTTCAGGATCACACAAACAAATCTGACTCCTTGACATATCACTTGAAGTTGAACTTATGAAGAACAATATGCAAAGTAGGTAAACTTTGACATCAATGTTAATACATTTTTTAATCCTACTGTAGGTTTGCAGGCTCAGAATTGTACAACTTGGAATCCAAGTGTCTCAGGTAATGTGGTACCTGAGCTATTGCATTCTGCCATGGTTAACATCTGAAGACACCTCAACTGAGAAGTAAAACTACCTTTGATTTCTGGTCCTAGTTTCTGAGATGCCTGGGAAGTTATGCTGAGACGTAGTGCAGAACTGAACCCAAACTCTGAACTCAAAGGTGGGGTGGGGGGGTTGTCAGGCTTTGTTTCTCTCAGTGCTCAGCACTGGGGAAGCTGCTGGTGAGAGTGAGGCGCTGTTATTCCTTCCTAGGGAGTGAGATGTGGCACTGGGGATCAAGGATGCAGTTGAAGAGAATAAGACAAAGGAATGCCAATATGATTCAACTGAATAGAAGAGTGGGAATCACCAACCTAACCTTTGAAAGATCTTATGAGTGATGCAAACTCAACACAAAGTCAGTTATGGCAGGTCAACAGATGAATGGTCAATCAAATTAAAATGATATGGCTGCTTTTGATCAAGAAGTCAAAGCTTCACTCTTACAATTTGATGTGCTTACAGAAGAAGTACCCTATTAGTATGGTTTGGATTTTGCAAATACATGCTTAGAGAAAATATGGAAATATCAGTAATCCCATTGAATAAGATGTTATGTGCTATTTCGGGCAGGTCACCTTCTGGGTTTAAGCTGTGTATTTGCACTGTTGTGTGCTGTAGAACTGAAATCTAATGAGAAAGACATACAAAGATTATACCTTTGTGCGCATCTTTCGTATCAAAGTAACAAGGTTGCTAGTGATTTTGACCCTAGCTGGGTTTTTTTGTTGTTTAGCTTTGTTATTAGTAGCCAAATTCTAGTAATTTTATTTCTTGTGGCAATATTTTATGGTCAAAGCATAGTCTAAATTAGCACCTTATCAAGTAAAAGGATATACATATCCTTTTATACTGCTGTTGACTGATAACTGGTGAATCTTATGAGTGGTGAATTTGGAAAAAAAAAAGCAAACAAATTTGGGTTCAGTAAAAAGCAAAAGGCATTATTCCAGCTTTACATTACATACTGCAGAATACATTATTTTTAGTTGATCCCATGAAGGAAAATCTTTAAATTTCTTCCCTTTAACATGCTGAAATCTCTTAAAACTGGAGGTAACGGTACATAGTACACAGCTTTGGGGCAAGGAATGTGTCTGTTACTGTCATGATCTGATTGACCAGCAGAAACTCTGCGGGTTGAAAATTGCAATTAGATAGGAAGGGAAGAAGGAACTCATTTTCATGTAATTACCTTAGCTTTTCTTTTGGGTGTTTCCTGCTAAACTCAGTAAAGGAAGAATGTCTGCAAAAGGAGTTGGAGTAGTTGCAGATTGGTTTAATTAAAAACCTGAAATACTTAGCCACCATCAGCAAGATCCAGTCTGAACCAACTACACAGTTAACAAAAATCAGTCTTTGATCAGGACAGTTTTTACATAGAAATCGAATGAAATTATACAGCATACTGTCAAATAATTATTTAAGGTAATATCTGACCTAAATAGATGGTCTATAGTGCCGACTTCACTACAGTAAGGAGTTATACAGCCTAACATTTAATACCTAGTCTATGATTATGTCATTTGTGTGCTGGAAAGTGTAAGGCAGACTGTAGAGTGATAAGAAAGAGTAAAGTACGCAATGGTTGACTGTGAAAGTCTCCGTGCCGTTTCCCAAGCACACGGTGGTGGTTGGTTATCTGCCTTCATGTTGCACAGTTCTGGAGTTTGCAACAGGACGGTGTGTGTCTCTCTTTCCTCTTCTTAATATGCTCCACAGTGGACCTTCCTCCTCACTGCTCTCCTCGGAGCTGGAAATGCCAGCGCCTATTTCTTTGCCGATTGAAGGCCTTTCATAAGGGTCACTTTGACAGGAGACTTTCTCCTCTTGGCACTCTTGCCTGTGTGGAAACTTAAGGCTTTCATTGAAGAAGGCAGAAGCCATGCACTCGGCTGCTGTCTTATCGCAAGCACATAGTAGTTTCTCACACGTGCTCCAACCAATACCTTAAAAAGAAGTTTCAGAATTAATATTTGAAAGCATTTACAATTAGTCAATATGTAATTTGCCATGGATATATAGGCTTTTGAAAATAAAATTTTCAAATCTGCCTTGAATTTTAGGCTCCAAATTCACCTTTAATCATCTAAATATGAGTGACACCAAGGTGCTGGGCAGCTGAAGGTCCAACTGGCTTCAGCTGAATTTGTGAATGTAAAGACACCACCAACTGACTTCTGCCTCCAATCATAAAATATCTGAATGTAATTTTCTCAGCCTGACCTGGTCACCTCATACACAGTGCTGTCATAACCTTTATCTCAACAAGGAAAAAAGCTTGGTTTTATAGTAAGCATTGCTAACATTTTGTAAGCCAAATTTTTCTGTCTCCATACTCAGCTGTAGCAGCTCACAGGCACGGTGGCATTCAGTCTGTGATGCTTTGATATGCTGTCATCAGGACATGAGAAATTTCCTCTAACCTAAACTTACATTTTGGCTTATGATCAAAACATACAATTTCAGATCTTGAACTTCTTTCTGCACGACATCCAAGTTTCTTAACTTGTTCCATACAACAGTGATGAAAGAAGCAGCACCTAAAATAAACAGTAGGTGTAAATGAAAAATACTTATTCTTCCTGCATCACAGAGTGCTTGCAATTATTTTCTCTCTTTATTTTAGATGCACATTAAAACTGAGAAATTTTAGTTTTCATATCATGGAAAAATCTTTTCCATAAAGAAGAAGAATCATAGAATCATAGAATCATAGAATCATTAAGGTTGGAAGAGACCTCTAAGATCATCGAGTCCAACCGTCAACCCAACACCACCATGCCCACTAAACCATGTCCCTAAGCACCTCATCTCCCCGTCTTTTAAATACCTCCAGGGATGGTGACTCAACCACTTCCCTGGGCAG